ACGCTGGATCATGGAGAAAGTTAGGGAGTTCCAGAAAAACGTCTACTTCTGCTTCATTGACTATGCTAAAGCCTTTGATTGTGTGGATCACAACCAATTGTGGCAAGTTCTTAGAAAGATGGGGGTCCCAGACCATCTTATTTGTCTCTTGAGAAACCTGTATGCAGGTCAAGAAGCAACAGTGAGAACTGGACACAGAACCACTGATCGGTTCAAAATTGAGAAAGGAGTTTGGCAAGGCTGCATACTGTTGCCCTGCCTATTTAACTCACATGCAGAGCACATCATGTGAAAGGCAGGGCTAGATGAATCATCAGTTGGAATCAAGATTGCTGGGAGAAATATCAACAGCCTCAGATATGCAGATGATACCACTCTCATGGCAGAAAGTGAAGAGGAACTAAAGAGCCTCTTGATGCGGGTGAAGGAGGAGAGTGCAAATGTTGGCCTGAAACTCAACATTAAGAAAACTAAGATCATGGCATCCGGTCCTCTCACTTCCTGGCAAATAGACGGGGAAGAAATGGAGGTAGTGACTTATTTTCCTGGGCTCCAAGATCACTGAACATGGGGACTGTAGCCAAGAAATTAAAAGACGCTTGCTCCTGGGGAGGAAAGCATTGGTAAATCTAGACAACATACTAAAAAGCAGAGACATCACCCTGCCGACAAAAGTGCATATAGTCAAGGCCATGGTTTTCCCAGTTGCAATGTGCGGCTGTGAAAGCTGGACCATAAGGAAGGCTGAGCGCCAAAGGATTGAGGCCTTTGGATTGTGGGGCTGGAGGAGACTCCCGCGAGTCCCTTGGACCGCAAGGCGATCAAACCGGTCCATCCTAGAGGAGATCAACCCTGACTGCTCTTTAGAAGGCCAGATACTGAAACGGAAGCTCAAATGCTTTGGCCACCTAATGAGAAGGAAGGACTCCCTGGAGAAGAGCCTAATGCTGGGAACAATAGATGGCAAAAGAAGAAGGGGTGGCAGAGGATGAGGTGGCTGGATGGAGTCACTGAAGCAGTTGGTGTGAGCTTGAGTGGACTCCGGGGGATGGTGGAGGACAGGAAGGCCTGGAGGAGTGTTGTCCATGGGGTTGCGATGGGTCAGACACGACTTTGCAACTAACAACAACAACAAACTTTCTCTCCCAATGCCATGTTAACATAGAAACAGAAACCGAGTGAGACAGAAGGGGCCTCCGGGGCCATGTAGTCTGACCCTGGCTCCAGCCGGCTCTGCTCATGACATGCCCACCATGGGCATGTCCAGACTATCCTTGAACACCTGCACCGATGGGGCCTCAACCACCTCCCCTGGAAGCCCAGTCCATACCCTGGGGGTCCTAACCATCAGGAAGGACTTGCCTAAGAGCCCCTGCTTTTCGGAGCAAAGACCCTGCTTTTGTGCCCTTCTCAAACTTTGTTCGTAACCCCATGTGAGGCTAGTTCAGAAGTAGCAGAGTTTGGAGTCCTGTTTTAATTTGGAGGGCTGCATCTCCTTGCAAGCTTCTTTGGCCGAAGGAGAGGCCTAGTGCAGAGAAAGTGAGCTTCAGCCATTCTTCAAATGGGTTGGACTAGATCTCCCAGCATCCCCAGACAGAAAGGGAGGGCGAGTGACTTCCTCTTTCTTCCCCACTCCTGATTTTCATCCTTTCATCAATGATGTAGAAGAAGGGGTGAACAGTCTGCTGATCAAATTCACAGATGAAACTAAAACTGGGGCAGTGGCCACAACTGAGGAGCAGGTACTCCAGATCCAAAAGGATCTGGACAGACTATGGAAGTGGGCAAGAGACAACAGGATGGTGTTCAATGTGGATAAGTGCAACGTCTTGCACTTGGGGCATAGGAATGGAATACGTAGGAACGTAGGAATAAGTACAGATTAGGGGACAAGTGGCTGGAGAGCAGCACTTGTGAAGGGGACCTCGGGGTGCTGGTTGACTGCAGGCTGAACATGAGCCAGCCGTGTGATGCGGTGGTCAAGGGGGTGAACGCCACCCTTGGTTGCATAGCCAGAAGTGTGGCTTCTAGATCGAGAGGGGCATTACTGCCATTCTGTATGACTCTGCTGTGTCCAGAACTGGAGTTTTGTGTTCAGTTTTTTGCCCCTCATTACAGGAAGGATATGGCCAGGTTGAAGTCCGTGCAGCGAAGGGCCACAAGGTTGGTGGGCAGTTTGCAGGGGAAGCCGTATGAGGCAAGACGGAGGGAACTGGGCCTCTTCAGCCTGGAGAAGAGGAGACTCAGAGGGGATCTGTTGGCGACATACAGGTATGTGAGGGGTGTCACACGGAGGTGGGCAGAGACCTGTTCTCCCCTGCAGAGGAAGGCAGGATGTGCTCCAACGGAGCCAAGCTCAGGGAACCCAGGTTCAGTTTGGATGCCAGGAGGCACTTCCTGACAGTCAGGACCCCGAGGGTGTGGACTGGGCTTCCTTGGGAGGGGGTTGAGGCCCCATTGGTGAGGGTGTTTAAGGACAGGCTGGACATGCTCATGGTGGGCATGTTGTGAGCAGAGCCGGCTGGAGCCGGGGGTCAGACTAGATGGCCCGGGACACCATTCCAACTTGCTCAGTTTCTATGTTTCTATGATTTTTCTTCCTCTCTTTCCAGCACCTCATTTCTCTCCCTTTCACCCCATCTTTTCCTTCTCCTACCAAGTCTTTCACTCCCATTTCTTTCTCTCCCCTCTTCCTGGGAAGGCACATGGTTCATTCTGGTCTACCCTTGAAGACACCTTCTGGGATTCTGCTGAGGGTCATCAGCGTCCCAGCTTTTGATTTTGATCCAGTGATGGCTGCCAGCTATTCATGGAGTCTCCATGGTTCAGGGCAGGATACCTTTCTTGGTTGCCTGTTAGCTAGAATTAAGAAGACCCTCTGGGGAAAAGGACATGCTCTATGGAGGAGACAGACTCCAGGAGGACTCCAGGAGGATACTTTTTATGGGTGGTAAATTATCACCAGCCCTCCCCAAGTCAGTGGCTTTCATCGCACGTCTCCCGTTTCCTCCTCTGAGAAACATCTCCCATTCACCTGAAAACCATATCACTAACAGCTCTGCTTTTTGCAGCAATATTTTTTGTGGAGCTTTACCCATCAGCTTCCAAACAGGCCGATATTCAACCTGTAGTGTCCTCTAAATGTCATGGAAGAGCTGCACCTGTGGAATGCTTGCCTTTCACCCATGGTTTGGAAGGCCCAGGGAATTCATGGCCTGGTCCTCAGGTCTTAAAAGGGGTTAACTTAATTCCAGGGCTCTAATCCTTTGAAGGTTAGCCAATTCTCCCCTTTGAATCCTTTAACAGTTCAGGCTACTCCCTACGCCCCCCCCCCCCCATCCTTCAACCCTTTAAGGATTAATCCCCTCCAGTCCTTTTAAAGCTTAACCAGTTTCCCAATCGCTAGTATGCCTTCCCGCCAGTTCACTCCAGGTTCTTAAAGGGTTCGGCAACCCACGATCCAATTATCCAGAAGTTAAAATGACCCCTTCTTCAGTCTCTCCACCGCCCCCACCCCGCGCGCCAGCCCAGTTTCCTCTCCCGCCCCACTGAATGCACCCCATTGGTTGTTTCAGTCATGTTTAGTCCTACAGCAGGCCGGTTCTCCGTTTCCGACTGTCCATACAGCCCTTTTCAACAAATTCCTCCTCCTTCCAAAAAGGGTAAGCGTTTAAACAGTTCCCCCGTTTCCTCCCACCCTTACGGGGTTCCCCCAATTCCCTCCCCATCCTAAGAAGGGGCTGCTCCCCGCTTCTGTCGCAGCACTGCAGCCGAGTGGATGATGGGAGGGTACATGCCGTCCCTCCTTGCACTAAAGGGTCGCACCATTTCCCCTGTCCAGACTCTTAAGGGTTAAGCCGCCTCCTTTATTTACCTGTAGTCCCCTAATCTTTAAAGGTTAATCTGATCCCTCATTTACGGTCCATTCCAAGGACTCAGCAATCCGCCCCTCCCACCAGCGCAGGACTTTAATGATTAAACCCATTTAGCCCCCTCCCCGCCCTTTAAGGGTTAATCACCCCGCCAGCCTGGTCTTTCAAAGGTTAGGTCACTTCGCCACCTTTGCCCGTGGCACTTAGAGGTCAGTAACCCGCTTCCTCCTCGGGTCGGTTTAGGAGGTAAATCTCCCTCCACACCCTGGCCCAGGCCTTTAAAAATTGGACTTGTTTTCTCATCCTACATTTTTTTTGCAGCGTTTTGACTTTATTTAGGCGGCGTGTGTGTGGGGGGACTCCCTCCAGATGTTCCCCCCAGATGTTTCCCCCCAGCCTGGCTAGGCTCTGCAGCCCCGTTAAATCAATTTCCTCCCGCAATTTCTCTGCTTTGAATGGTTAATACCCTGTTGGCTGGGGTCAATGGGACTTGTAGGCCAGCTACAATCTAGGCAGGGGAACCCGGGCTCCCTACCCCTGATTGAAGGCACTCCCTCTACCCTTCTGTCTGGGAATGCTAGGAGGTCTAGTCCAAGCCATTAGGAAGACTGGCTGAAAAGCCCACCGGATGGCTAAGCAGTTCCTTCTGTTCCTCGTCCTCTAAAGGGTTAAACCAATTTTCCTCCCTCCCGGCGCTAAGGGGTTAACTGAAAACCCGCTCTCGCTCCCCTTGGCTACCTCGCGCTTCCCTCAGATTGACACGTTTTCTACGGGAGGCCGCCTCCGACCAATCAGCAGCCCCTGTCGGCTTTGGGAGTTCTGCCCCCCCACGTGGGGTGCGAATGCCCTTGTTATTTATTTAATTTCCCCCCTCCTTATTCTAGCTCTTGATTGGCTGTGGCACGCGGGCTGTGGCAAAAGAGAAGGAGCCAGACCCCACGTGGCGCTGGCGCTCGTTCATTGATCGCTGCTACCCCGCAAAGCTGTTTGGGGAGGGGAGGGAAGGGAAGAGCAGGGGAAAAGAGGGGGGGCAGGAGGAGGAGGAGAGCGGCGACGACTAGGAGGGGGAGCAGAGGGGGTCTCTCTTTTTCTCTCTCTCCCACCCCACCCTACCCACCCTTTCCCTTCCTGCCTTAGAGGCGGCTTGGCTTCAGGGGCCCCGATCCTGGCTTCCGCGCGTTGGTAAGCGTGCGCGTTGGTGTGTTCCTATCAGCGTCTTTGCAGATGGGAGGGGGGGCTGCTTTTATAAGGTGGGGACTGAGGAGGAGGAGAGGAGGGCCTCTCCGAGCTGCCCTGGTTGTTCCTCTCTACCTGCTGCTTGCAAGTCTGAAAAGGGAAAAGCAGCCCCCATTGTTTGGGTGAGGAAATAATGGTATGGGGAGGGGCGGCTGGCGTGGGTCGGGAAGGCGGGGCAGAGAGCGAAGGGGGTAGGTTTTGGGGCTGGGGGAGGCGAGCTGCTTGGCGGGTTCAGAGGTGGGGGGGTCCAGTTGGGGGGAGGCGTATATGTGTGGGTTGGGAGCCAAGACCTTTTTAGGAGAAAGGAAATCCTCGGGGTGTGACTGTGGCGTTCAGGGTTGTGTACCCCGCTTCTCCCCGTGCGCCCCCTCCCTCAGTAGCCACCTACAGACAATAACAAGCCCCGTTTGCCGAGGGGTCCTGTCTTCCCTCTCCCCTGGTCTCCCTGAGGGGAAGAGTTGACCAGCTGCTGGAGAGGAAATAGCTCTATTTAAGTCAGGCTCCAGGGCTTCAACTTATTATTCGCCCACCCCCTCTGTGCTGCTTCTCCCCAGCAGGAATGCACAGGCCCCCCCTGAGCATGTGTTGAGTGTCCTCTCTCTCTCTCTCTTTTTTTTTTGGCCAGCTCCAGCCTCCTCACCTAGGGATGAAGGAAGGGTATCTAAGCAGGCTTGACCCCCCCCCCCCAAATGCTCAGGAAGGGTAGAGAACAGAGGAAAATGCCCCTTTGCTCCTTTGAGATGTTAAAAGCTAGTCATAATAAATTGGAGACCTGATACTTGGAAGGTTTTTGAGGGCTTTATCAGCCCCAGCACTAACTGAGCTTCTGTTGGGCAAGGCTGACTGGTGTCTGGAGGCCACCGTGGGGATGCCTTTGAGTTACAAATCCAAAGTACTATCAGTACTATTCCAAGGATAGCTCCTCTTTGACTTATTTCTTGGAGCCTGCTCTGGTGGATTGGGCCCTGGCTGCCTTCAGCTCCTGCTTAACTTTCTGGTCCTGGGTTCCAGTTCCTGCAGGCCCTCAAGTCCAAGTCCTCTTTGTGAGGACATGAAAAGGAGAGAGATCTTGAATCTAAACTAGGCTGCCATCCAAAACAGGGACCTGGGCTTGGGAGTAGGGGTGTCTCAACACCATGCAGTTCTCTAGGTTGCGTATCTGGTCCTTCCACATGTGCTTAAGAGCCCAGTGGGAAAACTAAACCCTTCTGTGTTTAGGGTTTGTTAGGACTACATGGATGTAATCTTCGCAGATTCCTCTCTCAGCTATAGATTAGGAATACTTGCGTCTAGCTATGGGGAAGTAATTAGCCTTCCCCAAACTAGTGCCATCTAGATGTTTTGGACTTCAGCTTCCATCATCCCCAGCTAGTGTGCTCAGGAATCTGGGAGCTGAAGGCTGGAAAACCTGATCCTAACCTGTTTTTGCTGTGTGGCTTCCCTGTTGAAAATTGGGTTAAGAGCTTCCAGGTGCAGAATCAGTCTATCTTTGGCTACTAGCCAGTGATTGTACAATTGGGACTGGGTTGGTGTCTGTCTTTGCGGGCTTCCCGTTTGAATCAGATACTGGGTTTGTTGGCCCCCAGGCTGTTCTTGTAATAAATTTCTGAATGCAAAAGTTAATGGAGGGGTACAGATAAGATCTGGGAATGGGTTGCACCTGGTTAATGGAGTGTGACCGAAAGCGGCTGGGGTAATTCGGTTCTGTGATTAATGGGCAGTGTAAGCATTTGAGTTTGTGTGGTACCCTGCTGTGGAGGAACTGATAAAATTGTAGGATGGGAGTGAATGAGGAGATCTTCGAAGTCTCCTTTCCCTTCACACTTGGTCATGTAGACGTTTTGAAAAGAAATACAAGCGATTTCTTAAGAAATATAAGCTGCATACTCCTTGTTTGATGGTGGAGAGCTTCCTTAAATTGAAAGTCTTGACATGCCAAAGACATGCCTGTTAAAATAGCTCTTGTGCTTTGGGGCCAGTTTGAATGTAACCTCTGCAGTAAACTTGCCTAGCAGCTCATTATTGCTTTGGCCTCTCTTCCTCCTCTGTGAAATGGGGATAATTATAGTGACCTTCCTTACAAGGGTGGTGTTAGGATTGCAAGGCATATTCATATTCTAGATTATTGGTCATATTGGTCATATTCTAGATTAAGACAGCAGGTCTATAAATTCTACATTAATTAAGGCCACAGTTTGGCTGCCCAGACAGCAGGATGCTAATGGGTGGCTTTAATTCAAATTTAATAATTCAAAATAGTTGTGCATAATTTAAGCAACCCAGTGCAACATCAAGGAATGTCTGAGAGATCCAAGAGGAGGGTGAAATTTTCATGATTTTGCCTCTTGGAATCTGAGTCAGTATGTGGATTTCAGTCTCTAAGCCAAGCTGTGATAGTACCTTAACCCACTAAAGAAATTGTGGGTGTCGAATCAACTGTTTTGTGCACATGGCCTCTGTGATTGTCACAGTTGGGTTGTTGATTTGTACAGATTGGCTGGTTTTATGGAAATCCTACTAGATTCAGAGGGTTTTCAGGTTTGCTTATGCAAATTTCCCAAAGCACAATTTCTGTAAATTTCTGGTGCATTTAAAAACGTACAAACTGCATCCGGTCTTAGAGATGGAAGTCTGTGGACTGGGGACAGATGCAATTCGGCCTATTTCTGATCTTTGGAAGGGAAGCAGGTAGAAAGTCCATTGAGGTCAAATGGACTGGATCTCCCAACGTCAGCACATTCTTCATAGACATGCATAAGCTTGCTATTCATGTTTCCAAAACTCCTTAGCCTACAAGCCTACTAACCAAATTGCTTGTGTTATCTTACTGATCCAGTTCTGTGCATTTGTCTTTATTTTCCACTTTCTTCCCCATTTAACAAAAACTATCTGGTCACTTGTGTTGAATTCTCGATCACCATAGGTGAGCAGGCATGGCCTGGACAGGTGCTTGGCTTGAATCGGTGTGGCTAGTTGCATGTTCTAAAAATCTGGATAAATGCCGGGGGGAGGTCATGAACCCCTTGCACCCAAATGCTCACCTACTGTTAATTTTAGTTCTCAGAATGTCAGCAGAGCTTCTGCCCTCCCATCTCCATTCCTGCTTGTTTTCCAGAGATATTTCTTTCCTCCACAGGTCGTCCCTGGGAACTGTGTACTTCCAACAGGAGTAGAAGGGACATAGCTGAAATCATAATCCTATGATTTTGTTCCAAGGATGTTCCCACAAAATCGGCCCCCGGTGAGTTAGTTTCTACTTGAAGTTCCACCAAGCTCGGTCCCCCAATTCTTGCGGTGTTCAGGTTTTGGTCAGCTCCAATTTTAACTGCTTTTCACAAGCCTTTGATCCCCCAAATGTGTGTGAACTTACCCTGAAGGTCATTTAAAACATTCTGCTGCTTTTTCTGAGAGTGATATATCAGAGCAAAGAAATAAAAGAGTTTCCAGATTATAGCAAAGTTCAAGTGGCACCAATACAGCGTATGAAAAATTGAAATCTTTTTTTAATCTGTTCCACAATATTGAGCCTGATTGTGGTGAAAAAACAAATTTATCCTCATAAAGAAATTGAAGGCCAAATAATTTAGGGCCGATGACAACCTCCATTTAACTTCTCTACACGTGATCAGAAGATGGAAATGTTTCTGCCATGGGGCCATGCGTTGGACCTAAGTCCCTTCACATTCTGTGTATTTTCCTATACACAGAATGGGAAAATACACCCTTGGGTGTATTTTCCCCATATACCCTTTTCCCATACACCCTTCTTCTGCTCTTGTTTTGTGATTGGGTTCACAAGACACGAGAAGCCCCCTGGCTCTTAAACCCTCTGCCCCCACCCCAATTTTTCTGCAGCATCCAAAATTCAGGTGACGCAACCCAGGGCAAAAACAGACTGTTATCAGGTCTTGTCTCAGTTGGTACATAAAACCTGTGGGAGAATTGAGGGAACAGAGGGTGGGTACAGGGCCTTCTCCATCAGGCGCATTATGGGATCATGTAGGACAAACCTGTCCTTTAGGATCTGCAGAAGGCGTGGGATACAAAAGGGCACATGCTAACGTGAGTTATTTTGGAAGGGTGACCTGGTAACATGGAGGGGTAAAACTTGTGGAACAATTTGAGCCTGAGGACTTTCATCCAGCAGCAACTTCAGCATAAGGACCACACAATCAACTTTGTGGAGATTTACCGGTTGAGAAAGGATGTTTGTCTCCTGCGTGGTTTTTATTTGTGTTTTGAAAAATGTTAGAAATCTAGCTGTCCTTCCAGAATTGAAGAGCAAAAAGTTGGCCTCGTGGGGACCTTAAAGACTCAAGAATTAACATGGGGAGATTGTACAAAATTTATACGGTGCCCTTGTTTTATCTGTGAATATTAGAATGCCATGGGAAAGGAGTTTGCATTAAATACTTTGGGGTGCCCCCCACCTCTGTCAATTGAAAATGTATTTAGACTGTCCCACCACGACTTCCAAGTTTATGGCTGCAGTCCTTTAATTCATGCTTTGTTGGGAACAAGACCTGTTGAACTGACTGGGGCTTGATTAGTGGGTAGACCTTCTGCACAACCTCTCGGTAGTTTTTCTGCTTCTCCTGAGCTGCTTCTTGGACATACAGAAGGCTTTAAAATGCATTGAAGTCCAGATTTTAGCTGAGCAGGTTCAGATGCCTGCTTTTAAACTGATTTATTTCTAATTTCTGCCCTGCCTTTTTCACTCTTGCAAGGCACTCAAGGCAGCTTCTATAGTTCCCCTCCTCCATTTTATCCTCACAACAGCCCTGTGAGGTAGGTCAGACACCCTGTGAACTTAATAGCCAAGTGGGATTTCCTGAGGACAAGCTTGGTGCTCCAACCACTGTACTGCACTGCCTGTGTCACTGGCTAGAGGGAAAGCCCGAGTTTGCCCTGTGGGGTCAGCAGAGGGAGTTCCTGGGGGCAGAAAGGGGAGAATCTACCCCCTGCTGAAGGTGCTGACCGGTGTTGGTTCGACCTACCAGGCTCACCTACAAGCCCCTCCTGTTGCCACTGCAGCGGCCGCCGTGGCTGCCGCCGCCGCCGCCAGCGTCGTTTCAACCACCCCGCAATCCTTGAAACTGACCTACCCGGAGATTTTGGACAGGATAAAAGAGGAGTTTCAGTTTCTGCAAAACCAGTACCACAGGTAAAATTGCCCCGTTGTTCTTTTTGCAGGGGGTGGTTGGGTGGGAGTGAGGTTCTTTAGCTTGTGCACATGTTGAGGAGCTCTGAACTCTGCGGCTGCCCAAAATCTCTGGAAAGTAGGGCGGGCTTTTTCTTCGGAGTAGGAAAGGAAGGCGCTGTGCAAACGGAAGCATGTTGTTCTGGGGGTGTGCGGGCGTGCATTTGATGCACCTTTCCCCTGCCCCTCGGCCATAAAAGGCTCCGAAAGTGATTTGCAGTCAAGCCTGAACGGTGGGAAAGCAGTGTTTTTGCAGGGTTTGACTCAGGGCTGGACCCTATAGGCCCTAAAAGCGCCTTTGCCCAGGCTGTGATTGGATTTGCAAACAGTCAAAAGATGGAGAAGTTTTGCAAATCAGATCAACTCTGCAAAATTCGTACAGGCTGCGGAATCCAAGTTGGGGTCTGGGGGTGTGGGTCCAGAAATTTGGAACATGTAGGCTTGGAAGATGCTTCTGGGCGAAGGAGAGGTAGCTGAAGTGAAAGTTAGTAGATGCATGGCTTGCGATGGGTGGTTGTCTGAATACCTCTGCAAAGCATCAAGGGTCACCAGAGCCCTCGGGGTTGATGCTGCACCTTCCGCTCTCTCAGCTTGAAGCTTGAGTGCGAGAAACTGGCTACGGAAAAGACGGAGATTCAGCGTCATTATGTCATGGTGAGTTCCCAAATCAAGCTCGTGTGTTTCTTTCTGTCCCACCCTTCCCCAGCATGTTATCTTACCGTATTTTCATAGCGTTACCATATTAGCCATACCTTTTTGGTGAGTTTGGAGGTGCTCCCTCCGTTTCTCACAAGAAAAATGGCCATTTTGAATGTACCATCTTTAATCCCTCCTACAAAAATCCATGGACCGTTGTACCCATTATACAGATGGGAGACTGAGGCTAGGGTTTGCTCTGGCTACTTTCACATTCCTACCTCCCCACTCAGTGCCCTAAAAAAAAATAAAATCTCGTAGTGAGTGGTTTTGCTTTGTCTTTCAGTACTACGAAATGTCTTATGGCTTGAATATTGAAATGCACAAGCAGGTAAGTCCTAGGGGTGCATCACCCTCATCTGTTTTAAAAAGCTATTGAGGTTGAGTGCAATGCTGCTAGGCAAGGAAATGCAGCTGAGTCTGTCCTCTGAGGTTTGCATGTATTTTTCTACACTGGCCTTCCCTACTGCGTGACTTCTGGATGTCTTGGCAAACTCCCAGCTAGTCTATCCCTTGCATAGGGAGGATGGGATTTGGAGTTCGACGCATCAGCTTGAGGAAGTATCAGAAAATCTGCTTTCTGCATCAGTAGCATGTGATCCAGGAACTGCAAGGTTAAGAGGTGCTTAAATTCAAAGGCTGGTTTCTTTTTTTCATTGTCCAGAATGAGAGCCCAGTGTGTCTGGGGATCGTGGACAGTGGGGAAGACGGGGGGGGGG